GTATTTTGCACAACACAGGCAAGGCTTCACACACATTTAGGTAGCACGAGACCTATCTCCCAATTTCATGACCTGTTTCAAAACACAGGTCATCGGTCCAGGGCCACAGATCAAAAGGATGATGCAAATGCATGCAATCAGAACAACCTCAAGGCACAAAGACCGCTACAAACCGAACACAGAATCGCTCGCACGCATCCAATTCCCACTCTGCATTGTCCATTCTGCTTTGGTTGCATTAAGCACAGCGGCACTCGCTCTTCCCACGGCGCTGCACAGGCTAGATTGCATACTGTTCGCACACACACACACACAAGCACTCGGCACGCAGGAATTTTTCCGCTTCTGCGCACAAAGCACCGCCAACACACCAACGCTATACCCACAAGTTGGATACGAGCGCGAGGGCTCTTTATTCAAATCCTTGGACTCTTTCTGTGAGGGTCAGGGCCCTTTCGCAGCGCAGGCAGCCAGGTTGTCACAGAGCCACCGTCTCCTGACCCTCCTCGGTTCCAGAGCTGGGTGGTATGCAAGGGGGCCTCCTGAGGATCCGAGACGTTGCATATTATCATATGGAATCCGGGACATACTCATCCTTGTTTGTCTTTGCCAGCTGAAACCGGCGTCTTCCCGCACGACATCCTCTCACAAATCCGTGCGAAGAAGGATTTCTTCGGAGGCATATAGCCCCCTGTGGCCCGCATCTGCCCAAGATGGGCGTCTGATCGGAAACTTGGACAATCTTGCATCCGACTTCTTCTGGACCATTCCCACTCCGGGACAGACTTTACAGACTATCGAAGCTTGATTATCCACACCATGTTATGAGAAACAACCGACACAGTCGACCCACCCATTATCACTCTCAAGCTCACATAAAGCAGCACAAACCAATATCCGACTATATGGGCTTTGAAAAGTTTAATGACCGTTATGTTTCGTGTTGAACCCTACTTCCAAGAGGGCACCCTGTCCGCGTTTTTGTTCGCACTACATATATATTTGTATGCATATATATATATAGAGAGAGAGAGAGAGCTCTAGTTTCTCTTGTGAATCAGTCACTCAACTCTTTTCGACAGGCAAATCGTGTAGAACGGTGGAAGAGTAGAAGAACGCAGGGCGAGCGAGTTTGGCTGCAGTAAACTGACATTATTGTCTCCGCGTGCTAAAGCCCATGTTGGGTTCTCCAAACACTTTCGTAAACGTGTGAGCCCGAAGAATATCACGAACAAATCAAGGCAGGATTCGACAGATAAAGGAGCAGTAGGCTATGCGAGGCAGCCGCGAAATACAAGCAAGTTGCGCTGTCACATCTGCATGGACACCTTTCCACTACTCCCCAATCCCACCCCAAGCAACTTAAAGCGCACACACACACAGAGACAAAAAGAGCACACACACACACACACGCAGACACAAAGAGCCACGAATGCTAGTGGCATGAACAATCATGCTGCCACAAGCCGGCCAGCAAAAGTTGAGCCCCCACAACCTCACCTTCGGAATTTCCAAGCAAAGCGTCTAAACCCTCAAGCCGCCCAACAGCAAACAAAACCTGGCCTTCTATACCCTCAACCTCCAAAGACTCCCCCAACCCCCACTGCCTTCTAATCATCAAAGGCACGAATTCCTAAAACCTCAAGCTCTACACCCTCAGCACAAACGTTCGGACAACGCCCGCAGGAAATCAAATTCTTGACCACTCAGCAGCGGGCACTCAAAAGCCCCTCCCAAGTCAGGCCTCTGCATTCGGACTTGGATTCAGGCTCTATAAGGGCTTGGAGTTTAGAGGGGATTAGGGGTTGCTATAGGGTTACTGAAAGGGTTCTAGTATATAGGCCTCTAGAACTAACTGTTAACTAACATAAGGGACCCGAAAAGAATGGCATTTCTATTTAGTCAAGCTTCTATATTAGTACTCAATTCGGCCGAGGGTGTAGAGTTTACAAGGGCGTCGGGAGTTCAAGTATGATCCTAGGGTTTTGGGGTTAGACTGCTATGGGGTAACCCTGTAACTGTTCGGGGAATTCAAGCTTGGGATTGTGGGTTTAAGCATAGGATGCTCTGCAAACTCTCACAGAGCCAGAGTGAAGGTTGGATGACATTCGCTGTTCGCATCAGCGGTAAGGCCCCAAACCACCTGATCCGGAAGGCCTAGAAGAGTAGCAAGCAAAAGATTGCCGATATGGCGGCCTTGGCAAAATGCCCTGAGGCTCCTCGCTTTCCAAAGCGCGACACCGTGTGCCCCAACACCTTCAACACACGAAAGCCAAATCCAACTCAGGCGGCGACCGTCTGAGATGGGCCTGGCCTGTCCCAGGACAAGATGCAACCCTTGGTGTTTTGTTCACTGTCCTTGTGCTCATGGAGTAGGAAGTAGGGAATAGTGATTCATGATTCAGGGTGTGAAGAGTCGGATTCAAGCTCGGCCCTGCACTTCTAGGTTTTGACAGTTCAGGAGTCTAGTGACTGGTGCAGCTGCTCAGACACTGGTGTAGGTGTGCAGTCAACCCCATCCGCGAAGATGTTCCTCCATGAGTTCCCGAACGAAGGGAGACAACGCCAAGCCTCAGAGTAGTATCCAAGGCCACGATCTCCCAGCTTGAAGACGCAGTTTGGCCTTGCACCTGCCATCCATATACATAAATAAATAAAGAAATATATATATATATATGTATATGTATATGTATATGTATATATATATATATATGTGTGTGTGTGTATGCTTGTATATGTATATATACGAACATCGTAACCATATGTGTACATATACAGATATATGTATCAATCTATCTATCTATCTATCTATCTATCTATCTATATATATATATATTAATATGCCTTAATATGTATTCACATATATATGTATATACACATGTGAACATAAGTTTAACGCAGCTAAATGCAACAAATGAATAAAATATGCACAGATGTATATACTTGCATATAATGTGTATGTGTGCGGACATTCGGCTGGGACTGAGACCATTCGCCCGAATGCCGCCATGAATGTATGCAAATACGGGTGTATGCCTACATGTGTATGTATGTATGTATGTATGCATGCATGTATGCATATGTATATGTATATATATATACACATGTGTGTCTATATGCACACATCCGTTTTTATGTCATGTGCACAAGCTGCATAGGTGCAAATGTGCCTTTGTACAAACAGGTAGAGACGGTAGAGAGATCGATAGGTAGATAGGCAGATAGGCAGATGGACAGACAGATAGATAGGTAGAGATAATGGTAGATCGTTAGATAGATAGATAGATAGATAGATAGATGATAGATAGATAGATAGGCAGATAGACAGATCGATAGATAGACAGAGGGGGGAGAGAGAGAGAGAGAGCTAGAGATACTGATAAATGGATAGAGACAGAGATAGAGATAGTTAAACTAATGACCAGACATGCATAACGAAAGATAGATAGAGAGATAGATGGACAAATAGGTAGATGTCGATCGATAGATAGACAGATATAGAAAGATAGACATAAAGATATGGGGAGAGAGAGGGAGAGATAGATAGATAGGTAGGTAGATAGATCGAGGGATAGAAAGATAGATGCATACGTAGATGTACACCAGGCTCCCGGACAGTAAGCTTGTTGCCGTGAGTTGGAAACTCGGAGCTCATTGAGCGTTCCCGAGCTCGTCAGTTAGACAGTCCAAAAGTCATCCGAAACTGTGAGTTTAGGTTTAGGGTTTCAGGGCTTAGTTTTGTAAAGCCCCGTTGAAACAAAGCAACCAGTGGCACCTTGGAAGCAATCCGACGGAGTGAAAGCTGCAGGCTCGGCAACCGCCTCGCATGTTTAAGGGCTGTAAATTCGTCACTCGAACATATTGACAACCAAGCATTACGCTTGTTTTCTGTGGCTAAGTGTGAGTAGTGGTCGGTAGTGATCCCCGCCGCCCCCGCCAGCATGAGAAATATCAGCATCGGAATCATACTCAACGTCAACAGGCACGAACCGGAGCCAGCCATGAGTAGGGGTTGCACAAACATGCCACACCAAAGGCATCGCCACTTCGCAGAACGTCAACTGCAAGCATGACGAGGTCCCTGTGCTTGTTTGGCTTATGAAATTCTCTGGAGAAAAACCAACAACAGAATGAGGACTGATAGAAACAAGGTCAGCACTCCCGATGCGATGTTGCGGAGCCTGCTGCATCTTCTCGACCACTTTCCCTGGGGTAGCGCGGAAAGCCATGGGAGTCTCCACGTCCGGCCTCCGGGTTGACTTTGCTTCAGCTCAAAAGGGCCGATGTGGGTTTGTTTTTGCCTCCCACATAGCTGGATGTGGGTTTATGGAGTTTTGGGTTTGGGGCTCATTCTGCGGACGATTCTCGGACTCTCACAACTCCAGAAAAGGCTGGAGGCTTACACGGTTTAGGCCCTAAGGAGGGTTTAGGGTGTACGGATGACCGAGGGAAGCTGCATGCATAGGGAATTTAGCTCCGCATAAGGCTGAAGCCAGCACAACCCGGCCTCGCAAAGGAAAGCTCTGCCGGCGGCACTGCTTCCCAGGCCACGCCATGCTGAATGCACAACTCCTCCAGCGCAACTATGAAAGGTCGAATTCAACAAGACTCGGAATGCCCTAATCCCAGAAACCCAAACCTTGAATCTTGTGGCGTTGTGTTTTCAGCAGACAGTGGTGCAGATTTCCGTGTAATTTAGCGATTCCGACGTGTTCTTGTTTGGTTGTGAGCTGACGGTGTTTGCGTTAAACATGTGGTCAAGCAGAGTCAAACACATGTAGCGAACGTGCTTATTTTGTGATTTCCAGTGGTAGTACAAACCGTCTTCTTGCATTGATTGGCGATTTCTCTTAGCATTGTTGCTGTCGTCATTGTTGCATGGATTGTGCTGCACATGCCTGTGTGGTTTCCTATGTTTTGTCCTATGTTTTCCTATTTTCTAGTTTTTCCGAAATTTACTATTTCGTGGGTTTCTGCAACCTGGCCGACGATTCCATGTACTACCATCGTCGATCGTGGTCAGAGAAGCTTTTGCTCAAGCACTTGTCATCATCATCATCATCACCATGCCTCGTTGTCACCCCCATGCATTCGCCTCTCCGTTCGAAGCTGCACCGCATGCTCCCCTCTGGCATTCGCTCCTCCTCGTTTGGTGCCAGGCCGATGCCCAAGGCCTTCTTGACGGGGACGACCAACCTGCCGAGATGTGGGTCCAGGGACGACGACACTCGGCCGCTGCTGGAGGTGCTGAAAGTTTCTTCGCGCTTGCCGCGGAAAGGCCCAGAGACAAAGAGAGAAAGAGGAAGAGCGAGACGGAGACTGGGAGTAAGAGAGAACGAGGAAAAGCAACCAGGGATCAAGGCAGACGCATAGAGAAATAGCGAGCCACAGCTTGACGCAAAAAAGGATCGCCATCTTTGCAGCGGCTGAGCTCCGTGAATTAGGCCCTCACATGCGGAGCGCTTTAGCCACAAAGTCCTCCGGAATGTCTGACCTTCGGGTATCCAGAACGGCACTGCGCAGTTGAACTATCCCGTCATGCCGCAAGCTAGGACCCCCGCTTGAGCTTGCTCACCACCCGGCCTTCCTGCACCCATTCAGCATGGAGACGTGTCACACGAAGGCTACAGCGACTGTGCGGCCTTGTAGACGCAGGTCTCGCGCAAGCCTCACACAGACTGCATGTCTAGGAATATGACAACATATGACAACTCTCAGGTTGTAAGGATGTAACTGATTGATGCGTCGGCGTTGAATGCGATGAAGGGACCGGCATAGTCCTTCGTGCACAAGCTCACCAGATCCACCATTCGTGGCAGCTTGGCCCTTGCCTCCGCGAACTTGGAATATATCTTGGCCAAGTTCCCACCGACATCGTATTCCACCTGACAGCAAGGCACTGCCCGGTCATGCTGCGGCAGAAGTACCAAACTCCTCCGGGCTCAGGGCACTCAGCCCGTCTTTGTGCTGAAAGTTTGGTGACCTTCGCCACATGCAGCTGGGCCAATTGCAAACAACATCTTCAGACATAGATCAGAAAATGAGAAAGGAGGCCAGGCGCCACAGTATCATGAGCCCAAAAGATATTCTGACACGACGAACTTGTACGGCTGAAAACTGCGCAAGGCCATGATTGCTCCTGAGTCTGGGCCGCTGGCTCGCAGAAGTCGTGCTTCTTTGTCGCGACTTCTTTGTGCCTCGGGGCGCGCTGAGGGGCACCCAGGCTCTCACGAAGAGCCAGCAAGCCGCCCGTACCTTAGCTCGGGGAGACATTCAGCATGGAGCGTTCCCCTGGTAGATGCCACAACGAAGTAATAGTCATTTAATAGTCTCTACCCTCCCAACAATAAACCATCAACGACCTGACTTCTGTTTGGGTGCGCTCGTGGGCTTGCACGGCCATGTGGTTCGGGAAACGTATGCATGGATGGCTTTGTGTCCACAAATAGCCCACAACGCTGCCCGGGATCGCACTCGCCAAGGCTTCCACCGCAGAGCTATGAAAGGGTTGCCCCGGCACCCACTTCTGAGACAGCCGAGGCAGTTTGCTGTAGATGCGCCGGGCAGATTCCGAGATGGAAGCATTTCCAGGCGCGGCTCTAAGTGCTGCGTTCAGGTCGTCGCTGGCAGCTTGCAGGTGGCCTAAAGCCTCCCGAGCGAGGCCGCGTCGGAATAGTGCTTTGATCCTCAACTTCTCCTCCAAATCAAACTGAAGCGCCGCAGTCGCATCTTCCTCTGCTGCTTGCCAACGCTCCAAGCGCAGTCGGGCGAAGGCACGATTGCAAAAAACAGCAGCATCGGATCTACATATCAGGGCCTGGGCGTAGCATTGCTCCGCTTCTTTGAAGGCTTGTCTCTGCATGGCCGCATCACCCTCTTGCTTGGCCCGGTCGAAGGATGCTGCATGCATGCCGTCGGAAGCCATCACGAATCACCGACATGCAGAACCCCTTCCTGCTGGACGCGCATTGTGAGTCGCGACTAGATCTTCCTCACAGGGCCTGTAACTACCAGACTCAGCTATACCAAGTCTGCTCGTGAAGCTCTGTCAGCCAACATGTTTAGTGCCAGTGCTGACACCATGGAATTGACCTAGACCACTTTTGCCGGAAAGGCATCAGCCTCGAGTCGAGTAGCTGATAGAGCTGAGGCAAGCGGAACACATGTCACCGGACCGTCAGCGGGGATGACTTGCTACACCCTACTTCCACCTCATAGCTGTCCCAGGCAACGAATCAACACAACCCACACATGCACCCCAAAACCTCAAGCTGATCCAGGTTTAAAGGCTACTGCCACCTGAAGATGGCCTTACATGTCTGTGCCGAGGAATGACCCAGTGCACCTCCCAAAGAACTTCTGCAGATCCGTTACACTGTTACATGTGCATTTTGAAACGGCCGTTTTTGCCATAATGGAACTGAATGTGCGTGCATGAAATGCTTGCGAGGATTGCCCAGGCCCTGGAATGCCAGCTCGGGTGTCAGGTTGTTCCGTGCAGTTAGGAGGTGTCTACGCATCCCCAACTCTCTTCGCGCTATTCCTCTTCATCACTACCCGCTTCAATTAAAGACCGGGTGAAACCGGACACACAACGGTTTAGAGGTTTTTACGGCGAGATTTAGTTGCCCACTGCAACAAGTCTAGCAAACAGTTTGTTTCGGACCCCGATGAACGAAAGGCTATTGCCTAACCAGAAATCTTAGCGCCTACAAAGAACCCTATAGCCTTATAGAAATCCGTGCACGATTTGTCTGAAGCAAAAGTCGGAACTAGGCGGTTCTCGTTTTCGCAATGCGGGCCGCAATCAGATCCAGGCCGGTACGAGGGTCGCCCCCAAACGCCTGAAGGAGATGCCATGTATTGGGTATGGTAGCCTGATCTGCCAAAGTCACGCGCGCTTGCAAACAGATCTATCTTTGTAAAGCCGTTCAGAATTGTTATCTTGTTTGCTACCTGTCACCCTTACCTGTGCTAACAAGGTCTTCTGGAAGGCGGTCCCAAGCGGGACGACCATATTCCTCTCGCGGATCTGTCCCTTCAGGGCCCAAAGCGTGAAACAAACTTATCTAAACTGAATAAAGAATTTTGGAGGTTCACACGCCACAAGTCGCCGGTGGGCTTCTGCTCTTGTACAACTATACTGCAAATACTACATAGGTTCCGCCGCTGCTACTACTACTTCTGCTGCTGCTGCTGCCGCTGCTGCTGCTACTACTACTACTACTACTACTACTACTACTACTACTACTAGCCACCCCCCCCTCCCAACTACACTCCGTCATGGTC